ATTTCTGGATGAGTTTCAGGTGGTGGTGGCGGCGGTCGATTCAAGAGTTTTGGGAAGTGGTCAGCCCATTGTTTCCTTTGTTTCTCTTCTTTGATAACTGAGTTTCCTTCACTATCTTTTATTGGTTTTATCTGAGTTGATCTCTTCCTAGGTAGTAGCCTGGTTATTTGATATAGTGTTGTCAGGTGATGATGTCAGGTCTCTGTCTCCCCTACCAGCAGCCTGTTCTGCTTCGCTTGCCTGCCAATGTTTCGTTGAAGTATCTTTTGTCTTTCGGTGCACTCTTCACTTTTTTGTCCGGTGTTTTATAGGTTTTACTCAGTTCTTCTTTTCCTTGTTCATCTCTACACTGCACTGCACTGCACTGGTTCATCTTCTGCTTCACTATCCTCCTCTTCCTCCTCCATCAGCTTCCATGTATCCGTCGAGATCCATTCCTCGTCTTGTTTCTCCTTCCTTCCTAACACGGTTGTGGAGGCTTCCTTCCACATCTCTTTCAAAGAGTTCCAGTGTTCTTCCACGCAGATTCCTTAGGGGATATTTCTCAATGTCTCCCATTTTGTTCTGATGGCTGACTGACGTGATGTCCTTTGTAGTTTTGTCCTTCAGTTTCTGTTCTGGGTGTTCAACTTGAACTGTGGTCTATCACCAACTTCTTTGAAGGTAAGTTCCTTTCACTAGTTAGTGAGTGGTGTGAACCTACATCTGCTCCTCGTCTTGATCTTGTGTCCAATAGGCTGCGTCTCCACTTCACATTTAGATGAAATCAATTTGATTTTTAGTGTGTCTGTTGTCTGATGAAATCTATGTCACTTTGTGAATACCCATGTGTTTGTGCACACTACCTCCAATGAATAAATCACTAAGTGCGCAGAAGTCTGCAAACAGTTCTCCATTCTCACTCATCAATTCATCGAGTGCCTCCCTACCCATGATTGGTTCTCTTCCTATATTTTCTGCTCCCAGTTTGACATTCATCTTACCCATTGAAATTTTGATATCGCCAACTGTGGTGGGGTCTTGTCCATTACTGATTGTAGTTGTCTGTAGAATTCCTCCTTCTCTTCATCTGCATTCTTTGTAGGTGCATGGCGTAGCATTGAATGATTATGATTTTCCTTCCTTTTGAGTTGAATCTTGCTGTCATGATCCTGCTGGAGATTGGTTCCCACTGCATGAGATCCTTTGATGCTCTTGGGGACATCGTGATAGCCACTCCAAAACTCAGTGTGCTCGTGGTTGTCGTGTGTGTGACAATATCGGAGTAGATTATTGACTCTCCAGTTGACAGTTTGGAGAGTCCTTTTACATTCCATTCCATCTACTTTCGCAGATTCCTAGCTTGACACTTCTATACCATACCTTCTCATCTCTTTTGCAATCTGGGCAGCCTTGGTAGGTTGAAACATGGTGCAGACATTCCATTTCCCTGTGTTTACTTTTGCTTTCATCTAGACAGTGAAGACACACCGACCAATTAAGCTTACTAAAGGCTTTCACCAACCGGCGTCATTTCGTCTCTCCAATTCCAGCGAGGAATAGGTTTATCTTTATGTTTCATGTTTTCTTTCTGCTTTAGAAGTTTCTGTAGCGACTGGATTGGTTTTATGGGGTAGGGTTGCTAGGCGTATGTTCAACCTTCCCTCTTTATCCGGGCTTAGGACCGGGTAGTAACTAGTGAACTAGTTAACCAGGCGAGGTCCCATTAATAACTTACTGACTATCAATTACTCAGCCTATCGCCTTTCCAGCTTTTGCATATAATTACCTCACCTACTAGCTCTTTAAAAACTCTTCTTTCACAACTATCTGTTTGTTGTCACCCCATCTCCACAACTTCAACGTTTTCTACCTCCTCAGACATAAATTACCATTGATTTTAACCAAAATTTGTGATTATTGATCCTGTGTTTCATCGACTCCCTATTTTATTATTAATCCTGGATTTCGAATCCTTATCTATTTCTGCATATCTGATATATGCTATTTCATTATTACTACCTGTATTTCATTTCTCATGGAGGCTGCTTGCGGCTGATGAAAGGCGGTGAAATAAAACCAGCTTATTATATTCTAAAGAGTCTTTTTTCTTACGTTATTCAAATTTGTCACTGAAACTAAATGGCACAGATTTTTGTCCAAGGTGTCCAGAAGACCATTCACTTTCTTCAGCATCCCGCAGAACAATATCATCTGCGTACTCTAAGTAAACCACATGCCCTCAAGGGAGTCGGTCGATCCTTCAGAAGCCACACCTGTACCTATCAATACATCTGTAACGAATCTAAAAAACTGATAGCAGCCGTCCCTGTCGGACACCACCTGCTTCTGTCAATTCCCATCACAACTCTCCTGATAAACCAATTCACGACTATCTGAGTTCTCTCCACTAGAATTATCATTAGCTTCACATACTCGTACTATACTCTCTTTACAGTCAGAAACTGCCACAACACCACACTAAACAGTGTTAAATATCACCTTCAGGTCAAGAAATATGGCAAGTGTCGACTGCCGGTAACCATTCTTTCATTACATAACCTGACCAAGCGTCAAGATCTCATCGATACATCCTCATCCAGTTCAAAAACCTTTCTGGTTCTCTCAAATTTCTTATCTCCTCACTACGATTACCAGTCGATCAACTAACCAAACCATGGATCCCAAGGGTCTTGAATCCCGTGTCAGTCAAACTCATTACTCACTCTATGGTTATCACCAAAATACTTCTCTCCTCCCTCATAAACTGGAATGATTAACGAAGTGGATCAGTCTGATCGGACTACCTCTGATTCCCATACGATGCATTGTACTTCCTCTACTCTACTCTACTCAGTAATTTCCTACCTTCTTTCATTCTAAAAAAAGTCGGGTAGCAATCTGTCAGCATCGGTTTGGATGTTGGGCCACCAGAGCTTTGCTGTAGATCTGTTGAACTGTCCTCCAGTGAAGTGTTGCATCTAATATTCTAGCCACCCATCATGGGAGACTATCACAAACCTATTCTTTCCTCACCAACGGTCTCATCAACCATCGTCTTTTTTTGTCAGTTTCCTTCATGGGGCTAAATAGTCGCCGAATATTAAGTGATGCTAAAGACTTCCCTATCTCGCTTGCTTTAGGCACTTACCACTGTTCACGGTCATTGAGAAGACTCTTAGTCAATTTACGTCCAAGCCGTTTCCACTTTTCGTCGTGGTCACAGCCGGGTGCATGGATCTTTTCACACTAGTCAGTTCGATAATCCACTGGCTTTTGCTAATCTTTTAGTGTGAGCTACCAACTTTCCTTGTTGTTTCTGCAGAAAATATTATTACAGGGTTCATTAGGAGGAGAAATGTAATAGCACAACTTCCGCTACTTGGGCGTTGAAGCCAACTGCCAAGATGATTATATACGAACATTTTACTTTTTGTGGCAGAACTAAGTTTTTGATAGGACTCACCCTACATATCACCCAAACTGAAGTCTGTAAAAGCGTGTGTCGAGACTTCGAATAAACGTCTAGTGTTACAGTGTTTTCTAATATTTACAGACCCATTCATTTGGAGAGCACACAGACGGATGTTGACTTGTATTTAGTCGAGAAGTGCGTTTCCTGCTCGAGAACTTTATTTTTTACACTAGTGAGTACACTGGAGTTAGCCATCGAATCTCAGGACAGTTGTAAAATGACTTTCCCGGATTATTTGCAGTGAACAGGTGAAGTCAAGTGAATAGCCTCGCTCAGATCCTGTATGTGTATCTCAAAAACAGCGTGAATCTACGTCTGGAGATTCAGAGTTTTGGCGAGTGAGACCTGTCGTTCGATTTGACATGGGGTTGGAATATTGAAAACTCAAATCCGAGATTGGTGGTATGGTTTCATGAGAATACCAATAGTGTTTTGCTGTCTTAGATCATTAGCAATGTTTGGACAGTGAGAGGTTGATAAAATTGTAAGAACCCTAGTGTTGGTATCATGAAGGGAAGGCAAAGGAGGAGGCAAAGATAAGGAGGGCACGTTGTAGTTGATCGGGGTTGGTATACTTTTGGAAGTGTCCGGACGGTTGATACTTCTCGACTTCCCACACATTTGAAGTCGTTTCTATAGGGTACGTGACCATGGAGATCATGGAACATCTGCTTGAGGCTTGTCACGCATGGGGGTTTTAAGACTGTTGACTTGAAGTTCCATTAGACTAACGTCGAAGAAAAACTCAGAGAGGGGTTTTTTGTATTATACGGACTGACCTTTTCTGAACTTCACTTCGATAAGATTATAATTAATGTGGACTGCTGGTCAACTTAGGGAAACACCTTACTGCTGTCACTATCTTTCCAACAGTACAACTTAACCGTCAGACCACCACTATAATAGAAACTGTTTCGCCATGATGGTGATTGTTTTTTTGTTACCACTATTTTACAAACCTTTCTGGCATGGAGTAGTCTCAAGGGACGACTGTTCCAACCAGCATGTCTTGTTGGGTCTCTGTGATATGCATATCCAACCACCACATTTTGTGAAAAGTAAGGCTGGAGACTCGTGCTGACAATGCTCAAAATTGGTCACAATGTCCTATATTTACCAAGTATTATCTCTAAGTATGTAGCGCTTTTTAGTTGTCGATCAATTTTTTAATATTCTAACTGGTAACTTCAATATTTTCTTATTTTTACCCATTTCCTCTCTCTTTGTTGTTAAGATGCTTAGCAGCTTGAACTGCAGGACTTTAGCCTGAGTTTCTGTATCGATCAATCTGTCTATTTGCTGCGTTTGGCATAAATGTGTAATGTATTATTTTTCTAAAGCTTTTTGTAGTAAGCCCACGATTTCCCACCAGTAAATACTTATGTAAATTGTGAACTCATTTCTCTTTTCGTTGTTTATCAAGCATTCTTGCATCGAAAAAGTGTATCATTTCATTTGAACATACAGAGGTCCATATAACTTTAAAATTTAGTCACAACTTTTGACTGTTGAAATTGTATTTTGCATCTTCATATTTTCATTCCAGGTACTTCAGTACGCCACTATTTTATACCGTAAATTTGAGGATCTTGGTAATGCTATGCGTTGTGCCTTGCGTCTAAATGATATGAATTTGATTCGTGAAATATTTATGGAATCTGGGAAAGTCAAGAAAGGTTCCCGTAATTATGGACCGGCTATTCAGCGTCAGCTTGCATATCTGCTTGGTCGACAAAACATTGTACTACCAGATGAGGAATCTCTAGCGGATGAGAATTTAACGGAAATGCTTTGGAACACAAGATTATCAGAACACTTCTTATCGCTTGGCCGTGAACTCGATATTATGGATCCAAAGGTGAATTTGCTATAATTATTGTCTTTTAACTTGCTGCATTCTGTTTTTAATAATCGTTGTATGGTGAGAAGCACATCCATTGTCATAATTGTGATAGTTTTAGTGTTGTAGGACTTCACTTACCGTATTAAAGCTTGCTATTTTTTCACAAAATATCTTTCGTCGTGTGAGTGGTCAAACTATTTTTCATAAGCGCATTTAGTTTCATGTCTCGTTAGTTCACTGTAAATCCTCCATAAAATAAAACTGTTTTACTGTGTAGAACATCTAATAAACAAAGTAAAATGTAATCCCAGTCAATCACTGTGCCGTAGTCAGACAGACAGGCAAAATCAACGTAGAAAGTTGCACTCAGATGCAGTGGCTTGAGTGGCCACACGTCATAGTAGTAGGCGAAAAACAGGTGGATAGAAAAAGAGTGATATCAAAGTAGAAAAATTTGTGTAGGAGACTAAACAATTCGAAAATAAAGATTGCGTATATTCAAGCTTTAGACAACGTTAAGGAGTGAAAACATCTGCACCAATGTGACTGATTTTCAGCTGTCACCAACAGTTCTCAACCACTGATTCCTAACATCTCAAGGACCCCAGCCAGGTAGTCTACATCTCGTCCACACGACTCAGACCAACAATTAGGGACTTCATCGACTGGTGTCGCGTCTTGGTTTGGCTACTCTAGACCATCTTCAAACTTAACCTGACTTCTGGCATGACGCACTGAGATAATTAATAAACTCGGCATGGGTAGTACATATCCAAGCTATCTTAGTCTACTAAGGTTCACAACCTCATCAATTGACTTGGCTTTCTAACCTAGAACCAATTTCCTGTTGAAATAATAGAGAATATTTGTAGCTCAGGTGGATGGTCTTGGTTGCATTGTGTTCTCTGAGCTGGGTTGTTTAATCGTGAAGCTTTCATCACCTTGCTAGACGACCTCATCAGCACTGAAGTGAGCTGTCAATATCTCTCAATGAGTGCTTTAGCAGCTTGCTTTGACGAAGCGGTCTATGATTGGTTGTTTCCTTCGATTGTTGTGTCATTGATTGTGTAGACTTTCCTGTTGGCTGTTCCTCTGCTTCACCTCTGACCTTTCTGTCGTTTATCATTTTTCTTATTGGTTGATAGATTGGGTCTGTGTCTATACATCTGTTGATTGCTGATTGACCTGAATGCCAAGCTTCTAGAAATTCTCTGACATTCTTTGTGTTTCCTCTGTCCAAAATCTTTACATTGTCGAAATTGAATACATGTCCATAATTATCCACGTGGATTGAAATGATTGATGAAATGTTGTGACGTTTAATAGCTAATTGGTGCTCATGTAGACGAAGGCGGAGAGGGCGACCACTTTGTCCAATGTAGTGTTGACTACAGTTATTGCAGTTGATTTTGTAAATGATATTCGGTTTGTCTTCTTTGCTTGTTGCATCCTTTGGTCTGCATAATAGTGTTTGGAGGGAATTTGTTGGTTTATGAGCCACAGCAATTCCAAGTTGTCTCAGCAATCTTGTTGTGATTTCTGATACATTCTTTATGTATGGTGGGACGATGCGTTTGTTGATTTCTGTCGATGACTTTGTAGTTGGTGATGCACGGGATAGGCATCTTCTGATAAAGTTTCGTGGGTAGCCATTCTTCTTTAGGGTGGATATTAACTAATTTTCTTCGTCTCTCCGTGAAGTTGTTGTTCTGCAGTATGTTTTCGCTCTTTTGAGTAGAGTCTGCACGCAACTGGTTTGTGTGTTGTTGGGTTGTTGCTATTGTAGTTGAGGATTTGGCTAGTGTATGTTGGCTTTCTGTACACTTGGGTTTCCAGCTTTCCGGTATTTGTCCTACTGAATAAAACATCCAACTACCATTTCTGGATGTTTTAGTCAGTAGGACAAATACCGGAAAGCTGGAAACCCAAGTGTACAGGAAGCCAACATATACTGACCAAATCCTCAACTACAATAGCAACAACCCAACAACCAAGACCATTCTCCTGTCCTCAACATTGCTTACACGGTAATTCCACCAAACATGAGCAATGCTATGATCAAAACCCGATAATCGCTTTATGTCTTCTACTTTTAACAGCCATGTCTCACAGCCGTATAACAGGACAGAACGAAATACATCGAAGTATACTCGTCCTTCGATAGGTGGTCGGATATCTCACCAGTTGGCACCAAAGATGACACAAGTTAACGAGTGCCAAACAGACTTCCTGTATCCGAGCTGAGATTTCGTCAGTAACCAGTCCATTGAGGCTGATGCAACTCCCTAAGTAAGTAAAGTGGTCGCCGCATTCCACCACTTCACTAGCTATTGTTAAACTAGGAGTAGTTGCAGCAGACCAGCCCTGGAGCATCATCTTACATTTGATAAATGCAAAACACATGGCAAACAAACTCAGATTTCTGCAAAATGAGTTACCAAGATCCTTTTTCTCCAGCGTCTTCACATAGCAGGACAATATCGTCTGCATATTCCAAAGCGAAGTGGTTAAGTGCATTGACCACATTACCCGCTTGGGAAGTCGGATCAGCCCTGATGGGTCAGTGACTGACAAAGTCTAAGCATGGATTAAAAAAGTCGCGCTTAGCTTTCGACACATTACGTCGTTTATGGCGCCGCTGTGATATCTGATTATGTAATAGGAGTCGAGTGTACTGTGTTGCAGTTCGCTCTGTTCTATTGTATGACTGTGAAACATGGCCATTAAAAGCAGGATATGAGAAGGCTTCAGGTGTTCAAACACCGTTGTCTTTGTAACAGAGGCTGTGTACCATGGTGTCACCAGGTCAGTATTGCAGAATTAAAATTTAGAGTTTAAGGGAGAAGAGGAAAGTCAGTTAGTGATGTTGTGGACCTTCATCGACCGAGGTGGTTGGTAAATGTGTAGTACATACCTGATTACTACTGTCTGTCTCGCCGCACACTGATGCGACATCAGTGCATGAAGTCTTTGACTTTTGCTATGAACTGTGAGGGGAAGTGTAGACTTCCCGGTTGGAATGCGCGTGACAACATAGCCAGTGGTTGCAGACTATAGGTGGCATGTCTCAGAATCGTTCTTAATGGTGCAGATATATCTACATTGTCTTTTTCCTGATCATCATGATGAATTCAGTATTTTCTTATTTTTTTTTCTATTTACTACTTTTTACCGCTTTTGACTCCTTTCTTCTTTATCTTTTATCTTAGTGCTTTCTCGCTTGATGTTGTGATATAGTGTGGGAACTTGAACTACTATATTGTAATGTCGGGTCTTACGTTGATTTCATTTGTCTTTCATGGAACTTTGTGATATATATTTAAGACTTCGTGGGGAAGAAAATTTTTTCTTCACTTAAACCACGTCTTGTCTTTTCTTATGAACAAATGCATATATATTTAAGTCTGAAAGACCGCAGGAGTTACCGAAAAAGGTCGTAGATAATGAAAGAATGAATTTCAAGGGACTCACCACTCTAATCAGATGAGGGATCTGTATATCTGTTTCCCAAACAGGCTACATTCGTGTCTCGCGATGTCAGGGTTTTCACTGGTGAGGCTTATTCTACTCGACAAAAGATGCGGATGTCGCTTGATGTTGTGATATAAAGTGTAGCAACTTGAACTTTTACCCAGTTATGATGATGCTTTCTTTGCTTTGTGGATCAAACTGTAGATGGAAGGGTTGAGGAGTGGTCTCTTATGGTTGCAACTCACTTTGTTCTGTGCATGCGATCAGTGTCGTTAACCATACACAAATATTGGAGTTACTTTGAAGCAAAACACTACAATTCATTTCGCAAACATTTCAGCAAGGACTGGAATGTGTAATACAAAAATCAAATGCATCTACTCTACGTTCGCTTTCACTTGTGGACTGTTGTGTCTTCGAATTCGTCTCTACTTGCATTCTTGAGTCACTAAACAGTTGCTTCTATAAATCTGTCTGATTTATTTGTTCTAGAACCATGCTCACAGTTCAAGCTTTCTGTCTTCATCGTTTTCGCAAACAGTGCGAACTATCTGGTGCAGAAATTATTCAAAGCATCTCTCTGCCATCTGGTCTCTAAAACAGCACATTAATAGCTAGGGTCTTAAAGTCTTAACCGGAGCTGTTTTAGAATAAACAGATCAGATATAGCATTATAAGATATATTTATAGCAGCGACTGTTTAGTTTGAAATATTAATTGCCATCATTCTCTGGCAGAACACGTAATATCTGGTCCGGGAGAAGTAGATCGGGTTCACTTGAAATTCTGTATACATTGATCATGCATGCAACCTCCTCCAGATGCTCGAATACCGTCATGCGCAATGCCTTCGAAGCCTTGGATATGATTGTGATCCAGAATTGTTTGTTCGACAAGGTTATCTCTTAATGTTCGTTAATGTCTTAAAAGCCATATTCAAAATTCCTCAAATAGAGTAAGGTCATGAAAATATCTTTCGTCGTTCTAAACTATCAATGGTGTTAGGCAGTGTTGCTCAATTTTGTTAATTCCTGTTCCACCTTCTTATCGGTGACATTCTCGGAACAGCTGTGAAAAACGTGATTGTTGATGATGCAGATCTATCTGGTGAATGACTTAGATCTTGAATGTGAAGACCATACCGTTTTACTGTGCGTAAATAGAGGCTGCTCAGAGCACACTTCACCAGGTAGCAATCGTTATTCATAAATATAGTACATACTTTGTGCCAACAAAGTGCAAATTTCCCTCATAATATTGTGAAAACTCAAAATCTGCACTCACCCTTGACGGCGAACTGCTGGAAGTTATTGATAAGTTTTTGTACATGGTAGTTGTGTGACTGATGAAATTTCCAACTATATGTCGAAGGCCAAAGCGGTATACGCCAATTTGATTTGGCTTTGTCGCCTTCGTGACCCTAACCTTACTGCAGATAACCGAGTGTACAACACGTCAATGCGAGCAGTTCCACTCTACTTCTGTGAAACCTGACCTTCGTTCTGAGGATATTCGGTGACCCTGCATTTTTGATGACTCTTGTCTTCTCGGGATTACTCCCTTTCGGTGGAAACGCCATCTAGCTGAAACTAAGGTAGAAGTAGCATGTGTTCGAGTGTATCGGGAATCGTCATTCCCTGAATGTCATCTTTAAACATTGGCTTCGTTGACTTGGTCAAGTGTTCATTATGTTGTTTCAACGGTTCCTACACCACTGTTCGACTCTCTTAGGTTTAGCTGGTAGACGCTTAGAGGTAATTGGTGTATGATGTACTATGGGATTAAGGAATATTTGTGTTGGGTTAGCAATTTTTGGCGCCTCACGACTCTCTTAACGCGGTCCTAAAAATCATGTGGTCCAGTGACTTTAAACGATAGCAGATATGGTTTAGAATCGAAACCAGTGGCGGTGATGCTACAGTTTTTGTTCTAATATCTAAAGGTAAAATAGATATGGTGAATGTTTCTTCACATTTATCTCCCAGACTGCTTCTTTGATAACCCACTGCTGTTTTTGTTTCCATTCTCTTCCGTTTTGTGTGTTTATATTATTACTCTGTGAAGCGCAATCTTTAGTGCCCACGATATACCAAGTTTGCGGAGCCTGACCCAAGTATGTGGCAGTTCAGGTCGACGCTGTTCACGTCAGTATGTCGAAGTAGAAGGCAATAAAAATATAGACGGAGGCACCAATAATGTCATCAGTAGTAAAACGCTATATGACGTAGGAAATGAAATGAATAAAAAAAGTACCATAGAAAGACGGAACTAAGGCGTAGATGTATCCTGTTTAATTCATTTTTTTCAAGGTTTGTGCCATTGTTTTCCTGTTGTCTTCCAGTTATCTTGTCAACTTTAATCGGGAAGCCTGCATTTTTCTAAATGGTTCGGATCAGCAGCCGAAAACATCGCTGTTTAGTTTAGTCATTCATAACTTTTCCTCAGTCCAATCTAATCTGGATAAAACGGTAAAGGCACACGTAGCACATTCAATCAACGCTTTAAGAAAATACCCTTCCTCATTGATTGACTTACCTTTATTGTGAACTCTACACCTAATCGTTTCATTACTGACAAAGTGATTCTACCAAAATACTTTGAACCTTCTTATTTCTCTTACCTTTAATGTTCATATATCACAACTGGATGATTAGACAGCACATTACCGTTGCAGCAGATTTTTTCGAGGACGTTAGATCCCCAAAAACGAACGGTTTTTGCCTCAAATTCATAAGTTTTATCTGATAGAAATATTGTGTCTTTTCCGTCTTTCAGGGTTTTATTTTCTTACTGGTTGTTCTTCCACTTTTATTAATCTAATTTGTCTGTCTGCTGCACAGACCTTCCCATTATACATAAACCCATAGGCTATGCTCCTATTTCATTGTCTTACGATATGAGTAAACACTTCATTCCATTAGTATCCGCTTTGTGTTTACCCGAGTGAGTCGTCGGATATCATATTTCGACCATTCAGTATCCAGATTAAGCGTCCGTAGTTTACTGTATCCGCAGCCTCAATAGATTTGACTTTTGTAGGCAGTCAGATGTCTCACATGTACCAAGTATTATTCTAGTAATTGTTTCTGAAGGCTTAGACTCTACCATTTCTGCTGGTATATAACTCACCCGTGAGTGGATATGTTCACGTAACTCATAGGTGACTGGTATTTGATGTGTGGAGCAGTTGACTTCCTTTCTCATATCACTGTAAGATACGAATTGCTTTACCTAACAAATGATAGATGTTCGTCACCATGTTTGCCTAATACGAAAATAACATCAGAAACATACCAAAAGATTTTTGGTATGTACTACATATGGTCTTAGATCAAAGAGCCGAAAAGTGGTCTTTTGGCGTTGTTTTGAGGTTTACGTAATAATTACTTCTAAGCATTTTCTAGACATTTAAAGAAAGATCTAACGAAGTTCTATGTTCTTATGTTTGAAATATTACAACGGGCATTGGAATTTTGTTTACTATCAATATAAACTCATTTAAAATGATAAAGGCTACGCGTATTACATTAAATTCAATATTTCACTGTTTTTATCCTTCCGTTAGTTGCCTGAAGATATTTACAAATCTCATCTGGAGGCAGTTCGACCAACATTGTCTGCGACTACTTTGGATTCAGCTCGAGCTAATTTAGCCGCTTCTTATGTTAATGGTCTTGTAAATTGCGGTTTTGGGAAAGAGAAGTTGTTGCAAGAAATACCCAAGGAGGTACCATGGTTATGCAAACAAAAAGAATTTGGTAAGTTTTCATAATACGATAATAATGTCGAAAGTTAGTATGAGGTATTTACATAGACTGGCCACAGTGAGTAGACTCTGAGGCTATCTAGTCCTTAATGCTTAGCACTGATCGAAGTCTGTTGATCAAGTTTTTCAATGTGGGTGCTAAGCAAAGTGACGCGACACACTGAGGTGCACGGTATTTTGCTGTTACATGTTGAGGGTGAATCAATAGAAGGTCCTGGATCTAGGCGTATGATTACACCTTGCCGATGAGTGCTAGGGAACACAAAACCTGGGTTCAGGGTTTCCTGCTAATTCTCTTCGAACGCCTAACATGAGATACTGGTTGAAAAGATGAATTCTCCAGCTGTCTTCTGGCACCGAACCATTAAATACTGATCTGTGATCATTTGAGAAACGGCTATTGATTTATCCTATCTGTTTGCTATTGCTTTTCACAGTTCTGTTTCTACATCTTCCCCACTAATGACTGACTTTTATCTGGAAGATTCCTTTGCACACTCTTATTTCCTCCAGCCAGTTTTCTAAGTCAGTTTAATTCCTGTATAACAAGGTAGCTAATAGTGCACAGTAAGCGCCTTTCATTTTCCTTCTTACTGTTGCCATTGTAATGCACGTAACCGTTAACTTGACAACCAGTCCCAATCTTGCTACAGGATATGAAATTCTCGTTGGCTGTTGGTACTAGGATAGACATTTTATCAGGCTCTCCAAATTGGGTAAGTTTTCATAAACATAGGATTCTATTTTATTTTGTTATTTGTGTTTCATTTAGAAAGATGAGAAAACAAGTAATTCATAGCAGATGATAGTTATTTAGTAATATGGTAGGTCACTTGGCTCGTATTTATCTTGCAAATACACTGGATACACAAATGTAAGATACTCGGAAATGGAAAAACAATCACGTGAAATGCGTTCGAGAAGGTCTTAATACTTTCCAAAATCAAAGAATACGAAAAAAATTGCGATCTGACTGCTATCCATTGATTTCGATCTATTCCTGACAGTTGTATGAAACGTTGACACTTATTCTTCCGTCTTCCTCGAAGTTGAAAACGAGGTTTGTAACCGGAAACAATACGAAGCAGCACGTGATGGTTTCTCACCCGAATTTTTCAAGGAAGAAGGCGATGTAGTATGTTAACTGAAGGTGGTTTCAGTTGGTAGAAGGTCGCCGGACCAAGTCGTGGCATCGGTTGATAAACCTTCTGACTGTTGGTCTTTGCGATGTAGGGAGGTGTAGATTATCTGGCTGGGGTCCTGAAGACGATGGAGATCGATGGTTGCTTAATCTGATGACGTGGCTGAAAATTGGTTACAATGGTCCAGTTGTATTGGCTTTTTTATGTCTTTTTAAAGCCTAAACAGAGCCTACCAATGTCCCACTCACGGAAACTATCTGCTTTCTATGTGAGTTCATTGAAGATAATAATTTTCAAATGGGTATCCCAAAGCACTATTTAAAGGAATTGCTTCTAAGATGCACTTTCAATGTGCAGTTCAAATTCAACAATGATCTATATCGACAAAAGGATGGGGTTGCTATGGGGTCGCCACTTGGACCGTTGCTGGCTGATTGCTTTATGGCGAAGCTAGAGAATAGTGTTCTGCATTCATCAATTGATAGTTGCTACTTATATAAAAGATATATGGATGACACCTTCATCATAATCGGTCAAAATACAGATATTGAGACTGTAGTTAAAACGTTCAGTGATTGTCACCCATCGATCAGCTTCACATCAGAATTCGAAGAGAACTCGGAATTCAATTTTCTCGATGTTTTGTTCGAACGGAGACTAGATGGTTCTCTTCAGCGATCAATTTATAGGAAGCCTACTTGGAACGGACAATATTTGAATTTCCACAGCTGGATGCCTCTCAGCAGAAAGAGGAATCTAATGCATTCTTTATCTTCAAGAATCAAAGGAATCTGCACGAGTGATACTATTAACGAAGAATTAGATAAACTACGGAAGATCCTCATCCAAAATGGATATCCATCCAGATTTATCGATCAGAACTTGAAAGTAAATCAGAATACGGAGCGAGTACTCACAGTTCCTAAGAAGACCTTGTTTATGAACGTTGTTTTCAAAGGCGATACGGCAGCAGAGATCCTGAAAAATCGACTGTCCAGATCACTGCAGATCAACTTCTCTAGTCAACAACTCATTCCGGAGTGCGTTAAGGACAAGTTGCCACTTTGGGCCACCTCTATGTGTGTCTACAAATTTACTTGCTCCTGTCGAGCTAGTTATATAGGCAGCACAAAGCGCACGCTTTCCAAACGTATCTCGGAGCACTATCCTGCATAGTTATCGAGGGGAGAATGTAAATCAGTTAACAGTTCAATTCTTGAACATTTGGTCAACTCTGAACATAAAGCTAGACCAGAATCCTCCTTCAATGTCATGTATCGTGTCAGATGGATTAGTTCAAAAGCAGTACGCCTTCGACAGTTGTGCACAGTGGAGGCACTGGCAATTCATCACTTCAAGCCTGATTACTGCGTGCAAAAGAAGTATGTTCAATCGCTCATCTTACCATGGCCTTAACACTCATTTTTTCGATTTCATTATAATTAATTAGTTTATTATTATCACCTTCATTATGACCATTGTCTCATTCTTCACCTTCTTTACATCTATCAAGTGGACACTCAATATTTGCGTTTCTTGTCTACCAACAATTTCCGCCTTGTCAAACTCCTTGCCTTCCTCGATATTTCTACTGTCTTAGTTTATTACGCAACTACTTTGCGTTCTTGATTCTGGTGTTTTTAGCACTAGATTAATTATGTAGCTATTATACCCTATTGTTTTTTAATGGACTGTTATATGTTTATGATACATATAAATGCGATTGTACCGCTTTAGAAAATGATATCGTCGAAAAAGAAAATTTTCTTCGTTGAATTATCTCTTCTCTAAACATTTTCACTAATCTTGCTTTTCAGATCTCTCCCTCCATACACGTTTGTCTGCTTTGATATCAGCCTTTTCCTGTCCACTTGTTCTTCTCGTGCTACTGTGAATTGTGGTGACTTGCACCTATGTGTGAGGTTGTACGTCAATGTTTTTTGCCTTTTTTCGATCTGTCGTAATCTTCAGGGTTTCTACCCAGGAATTCAATTCAGTAACGTATGACCACTGTTTTATGCACTCCATTTATAAGCAACAGGTCTCGGATTGAAATCTTGCTTCACCTACTTTTTTCTGATCAGTCGCATAGTATCGTAAACCCTCACTCGCTGTGTGTGGCTCATATTCTAGTCAATAAACATGTATCACGTTGGGTTATATCATTAATTTTTAAAAATTATGTTTATTCAGTCGTGCTATCTCAATACTTACCATTCGTCTCATGCTAATATGTTGTGAACCGATTCTCTACCTCTTCCAACTTTTCAAAGCACTAGCAAACGACAATTTATGCAGAGGATGCTCGTAAAAAACATCCGGGCTACCGACTATGACTGCTTTTAAAAGAATGTAATATCTTCTATTTCCAGACACAGTTGCACTCTAGAGTTTCTTCCGCTGTGTCGCTACTTGACAGTGATCCACATTTATTGTGTGAAGGCTGAGATACAGTCTGACTGCTCAAAACTTTGTTTGTTGGATAGTATTTGAACCCGTAACCTACTTGTTTAAAGGTGATTTTCCTACGGGTGACAAAGAAGGTTGGCTAGCGAACGTATTTTTCGAACAAACTTTTTTCATAGAGAATAGGTAGGACAGGAATGCAATGTAGATGTGTTTACTGAAGTATTGTGTACTTGACGTTTAGTGAGTATGTACGTCTGAATAACACCGAAGGTATTTGTCATTTTAGAAGGTTGCTACTTTTGCTTTTTGCTTTTCTTCCCCTTTCTGCCTATAAATCATTGACTAACAGCGGTTGAGATACACACTTTTCCGAACTACTTGTCGCAGTTCCCCACTAATGATAGCCGCAACCCCAAACTCTTCCTACTTTTTTTATTGTAACCTCAATACACATCACGAAAGTACACTTGGACACTGATCGTTGGTCAGGTATAATTTAAACAACCTGCATTCGTTCACATCGAAGGACGATGTCATTAGCATGCCTAAAATAAAACATTTCTTTCTGGGTGACAGCGTTACCGCGTACCTCCTTTAGAGCTACGTGAATAATGTTGTTGGTGGCAGAATTTTGGAGAAGTGACCAAACCTAATAACTGTTAAGTCACACTTCTAGTTTGGAACACTTGAGGTATGTGGTTGCATAATTTTTGTATTGTTTTAGAGACTTACGGGTTTTGATAAATTTTCCAAGCACATCTCAACAATAGTGGAGAATATTTGTAGCTCAGGTGGATGGTCTTGGTTGCATTGTGTTCTCTGAGCTGGGTTGTTTAATCGTGAAGCTTTCATCGCCTTGCTAGACGACCTCATCAGCACTGAAGTGAGCTGTCAATATCTCTCAATGAGTGCTTTAGCAGCTTGCTTTGACGAAGCTGTCTGTGACTGGTTGTTTCCTTCGATTTTGTGTCATTGATTGTGTAGACTTTCCTGTTGGCTGTTCCTCTGCTTCACTCTGACCTTTCTGTCGTTTATCATTTTTCTTATTGGTTGATAGATTGGGTCTGTGTCTATACATCTGTTGATTGCTGATTGACCTGAATGCCAAGCTTCTAGAAATTCTCTGACATTCTTTGTGTTTCCTCTGTCCAAAATCTTTACATTGTCGAAATTGAATACATGTCCATAATTATCCACGTGGATTGAAATGATTGATGAAATGTTGTAACGTTTAATAGCTAATTGGTGCTCATGTAGACGAAGGCGGAGAGGGCGACCACTTTGTCCAATGTAGTGTTGACTACAGTTATTGCAGTTGATTTTGTAAATGATATTCGGTTTGTCTTCTTTGCTTGTTGCATCCTTTGGTCTGCATAATAGTGTTTGGAGGGAATTTGTTGGTTACTGAAGTTAGTGCTGATGATGTCTAGAAGGACGATGAAAGCTTCGCGATTAAACAATCCAGCTCAGAGAACACAATACAACCAAGACATCTCAACAACCTATTTCAAACCCTAATTCTCTTCATCAGGTTGAAGGCACTGCGATGATTAACTTACAGAACTGGTTACAATGTTTCAGCATCTGACCAGAGGTGAACACGTATATAAATCGTATGTAAGACGGTTTCTAAAATAACCCCATTTTGGAGTGCCTTCAGCCTGTCATACCTAAAAGAACTTCAGGATGAAAGTTAAGTCATCTGGAATATATGTTGTTGCAGACCTTCACATCGTTACTCAACTCAGTGTTAACGAACTATATAAGATTAGATTGTGGGTTAACGTTTGTTGGTGCACTAGGTTAGCTAACCTACTTTGCAAAATGCTATACCCAGCGTTCAAAATATCTCTGAAGACTGTGAATCGAGACAGTCTACTTTACTAGTTGGAAAAACGAATTACCCAGGATATCAGCTTCAAACTAACTCAATGAAATTTTATGAATATATAAATTATTCTGGTCTTTCGTTCAAATTTTTTATTGACTTTTATTCTCATTGAATATACATTAGTTGGTATTGCATGGTCTCACTTCTAATAATACAAGTTGATGATTCTCTGTTTTCATTGGAATTGCTTCGTTCAACAATTGCTATATTTTGATAAAATAAATTGTTTTCAAATCTTTCTGACTCTAATGAACATTACTGAAGTGACTGAGTAATAATAAAATATACACAAACCATACCAACGCAGACACTTGGACTAGATACAAATAGTGACTGTTTTCCCTCAGTACTTTATGTTTCACTGAGCCACGAAAATACTAGAGAGAAGACATTGGTGACGGTGGGGAAGACACTTTATTCGATAAAAATACATGATTTATATACATTTTTTATGAACATATGAAACCACAGGTTAAAAGTAAAATGATTTATAGAGAAGAGATATCGTCGAAAAAGAAAATTTTCTTCGCTGAATTATCTCTTCTCTATGACTCAGTGGGCATGTTTCGTAGTCTAAAATGATTTATTGTGATTGGTTGGCTGTAGGATAAAATTGTCCAATCAAGTTTTCTTGACCTGCAACAAAATCGAAATACAAAAACCTCTACCTTAGCGACTCGTAACTGAAATTGTTGATTTCCACTTATACTGCTTCCTATCACATACATTTAATTTTTGCTGTTCGAGTTTGTGTCACCACCTTTGCATATGTTTTCAGTATGAAAATGTTGCCTAATAAGAAAGTGTACCAAACTAGGTATCCACACAAGCGGTTCTTGAGAAAGCTTTAGGGATTTTTTTGTCCTAGTATTTATTTCATGTGCTTTTCTCATTTTCTTTTGGCTTTTAGGTAAAATGAGTACTGTGGCTACTCTCGGATGGGTACTGCTATGGGATGTCGACACTGGCTTGTCTCAAATTGACAAATATCTCTATTCTGTTGAGGATCATACTCGTGCTGGAGGTCTTTTGGGTTGTGGAGTTGTCAACTGTGGTGTCAAAAATGAATGTGATCCCGCACTAGCTTTACTTGGATCCTATGTAGATTCTGATAAAGACGTGCTTTCCCGTGCAGCAATTATTGGTCTGGGTATAGCCTATGCTGGTTCAATGAAGGCAGAAGCAATCAGCACACTCACTCCTGTAATTCTGGATATCAATACAGCGAGACTTCAGCATGCTTGCCTGTCAGCACTTTCCGTAGGCCTCATTGCAGTTGGTTCACTTGATGGGACTGTTACTTCTACCATCATCCAAAGTCTACTAGAAAGGCCTACAAGTCATTGGAGCAATGTTTTCAGCAAGTTTATGGCACTAGGTTTAGGCCTGACATGTTTAGGTCGACAAGAAGAAGTGGAAGTTATACTCGCTTCCTTAGAAGCTGTATCTGAACCCATGAAATCAATGGCCCATATGATATGTGATTTCTGTGCATACGCAGGTAAGTACACATATCCATCGAGAGTTTTTGGAGTCTACGTTCCTTTTACCAGAATGTGTGTATAGATTTTAGCGAATGCCTAGTGTTCAGAAAAGTTTTGTCTCATCACTGTATTTTGTAAAATGTGCTGCATTGTTACAGAGTACTAGTAGTAAGAAACTAATCAGTTTGTAAAAAAGATTGCGGAAAGAAAAAAAACCTTTTTTGATTTGAGAATTCGTTGTACTTCTCACTAACCATTGTTACGCTTATGTTAACAGACGATATTGAATGACGATGAGGCAAACTAAGAAGATGATTTTCTTGATCTATTCTTACTTAAGCATAATCCATTAACTAAACTTCAATGACTGCGAGAAGTATGTTTTGGGTTAGAATCAGAATTACACTCTGCCAGTGTCTTTTACATTCAACATCAGGAATGTTGAAGTTCTTGTTGCTGGACAATTAATCAACATTAATGTACAGACAACACGATAATAGAGATAACAAAAGTCATCGCAGGTCGTCAGGGCCTGCTACTAAGGACTCCGATCGGACTGACCCACTTCGTTAATCATTCCAGTTTATGAGGGAGGAGAGAAGTATTTTGGTGATAACCATAGAGTGAGTAATGAGTTTGACTGACACGGGATTCAAGACCCTTGGGATCCATGGTTTGGTTAGTTGATCGACTGGTAATCGTAGTGAGGAGATAAGAAATTTGAGAGAACCAGAAAGGTTTTTGAACTGGATGAGGATGTATCGATGAGATCTTGACGCTTGGTCAGGTTATGTAATGAAAGAATGGTTACCGGCAGTCGACACTTGCCATATTCTTGACCTGAAGGTGACATTTAACACTGTTTAGTGTGGTGTTGTGGCAGTTTCTGACTGTAAAGAGAGTATAGTACGAGTATGTGAAGCTAATGACAATTCTAGTGGAGAGAACTCAGATAGTCGTGAATTGGTTTATCAGGAGAGTTGTGATGGGAATTGACAGAAGCAGGTGGTGTCCGACAGGGACGGCTGCTATCAGTTTTTTAGATTCGTTACAGATGTATTGATAGGTACAGGTGTGGCTTCTGAAGGATCGACCGACTCTCTTGAGGGCATGTGGTTTACTTAGAGTACGCAGATGATATTGTTTTGCGGGATGCTGAAGAAAGTGAATGGTCTTCTGAACATCTTGAACAGGAATGTGTATTTGTTTAGTATAGTTTTTTTGATCTGTCGAATTCAAGATGATGCTTTGTAGTTGGCTTTAACCATTCCTATTTTAAGAATAGGCAGTGTTGTTGTAGAGTGATTTGTTTACTTCACCTATTTAGTTAGTCAAATGAATTTCAAAAGACCTGCTGGACGTTTGCTTAAATGCCACGAATTTCGGTGTTAGTTCGACACCTGACAATAGACAAATATAGGGCGCCGCAGTTTGCACTTTTTGTACCCCTGTCAGAGTTGGAGATGCGTAGGAATTACATGTTTTCGGACGCGAGTGTCACTATTGCATCGTTCATATTTGGTGGTATCACCATGTGAGAAATGTTGAGTTTAAGCTTAAGTTACTGGACATACCAGTCAAATCAGTTAATGAGTTTGTGAAGTTTCGCGATGTGTTATTTATACCGAACTGCCTCTTACTTTGATATGCAATATTAGCTGAAGTTCGTTTGCTTTGAACGCATGTCCAGGGACCAAGTTGTAGCGTCAATCGATGAAGTCTTCGGCTGTTGATCTGAACTATGTAGAAAGGTGTAGGCTAGTTTGTTGTTTTGTTGAAGAGTATAGGTAACAGTATTCGGTTACATGACTGGAAATGTATGTCTACTCCTAGACGTTTTCCGCAAGGAATTGTCAGGTATGTTGGTAAGGTGCTTAGGTTTTGGTTGGATATTCGTTTGATACTTTCATTTCTATTACGTATTTTCATATATATTTCCTGACGAGGATGTGCATTAAGTTTTTGTGCATTTTAATAGTTTGAGATTCGTTATATATTAATGCTTATCTTTTTGTACACTCACTATTCTTCAGACACGTTATCTGTCTGCGCAATAACCTTGTTTCCCTTTAATTATTAAACTCTAAGGAAGATGCAGTTTAATTAAATTGCATTTCTGTCTTGTGTGGAAACTTTTGCCGATTATCTTATGACATAGAAGCACCAACTAACATGATACAAGTTCGAACCGGTCCGTTCAGCTACCCTTTTTCCTAAAGACAGGAAATTCAGAAAGTATTTTACAAGACCCATTTGATCATAGGAAAAGACAAGATGTGGTTTCAGTGAAGAAAAAACTTTCTTTTCAATGAAATCATTTACTAAGCTGTGCATTCGTGAATACATGTTACAGTGGGTAAAACGCTCTGGAATTGTTTCCGGTCTGGAGGCAAAATATGTTGAGTAACTAAAGTAAGTTAATTAATACACATTTGTGTTTAGAGTGTGAAAATAGACAGGGGATTGTGAAATCAAATGTAATTACGTAATGCAGGATGAATGTGGGGCAAAGTAGGAAACTGAACGAAGAGTTATGAAGATAAAAACTGGATTACGTAATACCCGATAAACCTATGACGGTATGAAAATAAACAGGGGGTCATGAAAATAGGATTGTAACTACGTAATACAGGTCAAATCTGTGACAGAGTGGGAAAATAAACAGAGTATTATGAAAATAATATTGTAATTACGCAGTGCAGGTTAAATCTACGACAGAGTAGGAAAATGAATAAAGTATACATGTATAGTTACCTGATGCGAAATGAATCTGTGGCAGACAGGGCTTTATGATGGCCATGGCAAAGATAAAGGTTAGACGTACCTTTTTTAGACGCATAACGCTGGACAGAACTTCTGGATCGCTAGTGCTTCGGTTTGGTAAATAACTTCATCGAGAAGAAAAATTCTTCGCTGAAACCACGTCTTGTCTTTTCTTATCTCAGAATAATGTAACAAATGATAGTATTATCACTATTATTATTTTTTAGGGACTTCATGGATGACCACTCTAAGCCTTCTTACACAATACTGGTAGTCAAAGTGGGAGAGTTTATCCAGATGGGTAGCTACTAGACATGTGTAGCACTTGCCTTGGTAGTTTACCACTCACAATACCGTCAAGGAGATCATCTTTAGTGTATGCTAATTACCGGCTAGTAAATTAGTGAAAATAAGAGCTTGAAGCATATTTGGTCCATCACTGGACAGTTATCGTCTTTATAGGATGCCTGCTGACTTACCAATTTATTGATACCGGTTATCTCGAACAATTCAATATTTTTTACTCACTAATGCATTTTTCTTCGTTTACTCGCTATAATGATATAAACTGAATGTTTTTTGCAGTGTTATTTCCAACACTCTTATGGTTCGAGGTTTCTTCCATTTTCAGTAATATGGTTCATACAACAGCATAGAAACCATTTTAGATAAGCTGTCATACACTAAATATGCTGCATAGCGTGGTTCATAAGCATACGAGGTTGTTGAGTTATATTAAAGCATCTCGCAGATTCTTGATAATACTTCCCGTTTTACACCCACTCTTCATTGTATAACTTAAGCGTCAGATAGTTTTACTCAAACCTTTTCAGGTAGCAAACAATACACGCGATAACTCAATCTACGAATATTTTCTCTCAACCCTAATTGCTGTGGAGCTAGTTGACATATCTGCTTACTTTTTATTTGATTTGAACCTGGTGTCCTAAGATTCCGTGGTAGCTCCTCGGATTAATAGCTATATTTCTTCACTGATAGTAGATTTTAAATTGGTCTTGAAAATTACATATTTTATCATAAAAGAAATAAAAATAATGCAACTTGATGCGATGCAAGGTCATTGTACTAGGTTATGAACAACACTTGTTATGGCTTCTGACATCATTCATTTCGTATAGAAACACCTTATAATCTGTGATTATCCTTCAATGCTAATAGCTTGCATGAGGCGCAGCGAAGTTACTGTGACTATACTAGTACATTATCCGTAACTCCCAAAACTCATCATCGGGTAATGGTAAGTAATCTCATCTTTAACGTTTTCATGTTGGTATATTGTATAATAATGTTGGAAATGCATGAAGTTAATACCTTGTAAACATAAAGTCACTTCTCGCTTCCTCTGAGTAGATTTTTTTTAGTTCTTGCTCTACAGTCTTAGAAATTAGTGCATAAGAACTAAATATTCTTATTGTTATCTAGCTCTACTACTTAGCTTCATTTAAAATCATAAATCGTAAGCATTTTTCAAAACCATTTAGGCAGTGGAAATGTTTTGAAAATTCAAAATCTACTGCACATACTTTCTGAAAAGTATGAAGAAAAAGAAAATGTTGATAAAACTACACCTTCTACTACTAAAACCAAGGAGAAAAAAGACAAGTCGAAAGATGTTCGTCGCGGAGGTATTCGTGGAAGAAATCGTCGTGGTGGGTCAAACAGATCTGGTGCTGCCAGTGAATCAAACGTTGAAGCTTCTGGACCTATGGACGTTAGTAGTCAGACAAACGAAGAAAGGAGCTCTCCAGAAGAAACGGATACAACTCAACCATCACCTATGGATACATCTTCGGTAGAGGAGTTACCAGTACAGGAAGAAAGCCCGTTTGACTTTCATGCTCATCAGGGTCTTGCTGTTTTGGGAGTCGCTATAATTGCTATGGGAGAAGAAATTGGCTTGGATATGGCTTTCCGAATGTTTGGTCATCTTGTAAGTTAACTTTGTTTGACTACTCTTGTTTTGCGGTTGTGTTATTATTCACTCGACTGTAATGCGACTCACCGAATGTGTGGCATACAGCACTAAAAATATATATCTTATATGAATACTGTAATTGTTTGGTCGATAGGTACACGCACAGAGAGGACTTTTAAGCCAACAGATTTGTAGCTCTAATAAGTGATAATTGATAGATGTAAATCGCTTTTTAAAGTTTTAACTGAAATAATTTGGGAGCTTGTTGCTGATGTCTCTTAGTCCCTCAAAGTTACTGTCTTCTGATGTTTCCGGTTAAACATATGAAATTAGGGGGAAATTGAAGAATTGGCATGGAAAATCACAATTTGTGAGTAGGAAAATTGTGATATAGAAGTCTAGTTTCTTTTTATTTTCGTTAAGTTCGCTTTTATATAACACAACTTTATTTAGAAGGACATGTCTTTTCATGTAGTGACATACTCTAATTGGCTCCAATAGCCAATTCTTCCTGTTCTCAGTGAAGGAAACAAATCCTCCTGTGGTAATGCAGTAGAATCATCCTTACAAACATAAAAGTCCAGGGTTAATCAGTTCGAAAAAGCAAGGCGACTCGATGTTGGTTTTGTTAACTGGGTCTTCACCATTTCAGGCGGATCTTTGAACACAGGTTCACTTACCAGCATCCTGCGCTGAGCAGATTTTTTCCAACCTACAGGCGAGTTTTGACCTTATTGATTGGGAAGTCTTGTGGCAGTCTCTCTGACTGGAGGAAGTAAGAACGTTTCAGTTAATCGATTATCATACCCTTTCTAGTATCAGCCGCGTGTCATGTAAGTAGTGTAGACGTCATCTGTGGTTTCTCAGATGAGACGGTTAAGTAATAGATGAGGTGACTGGCGCATAAGTTACACACTGAAACGTGCTAGCCGTTCATAAAGTTTTCTTGGTTTTTGACATTGTGACAGAATGCAGGCTTTTCTGTTGATGTTCGGAAAACAGCCGAAGTCGATAATTGGAGACAGTAGGTGGGTGAGTTATCACTGCATAGGTGCATGTGCATCTTAGACATCAGTCTACATTTCATTGTTTGCTGTTATGCACTATTCTTTTGATTGGATGGCTTTCTGGAACCTTAAGTTACAAGATTTTCACTTAGCCTTTCAAATCGTATCTGGGTTTGTTTATTCAACCTGAAACAACCTGGAGTGTTACTCTGTAGTTCCAACACCATTTTCACTTTGATTGGCTTTTGAAAGTAATGACGTAAACTCGAGGACTTTAGTCAAATGAAAGATACAAATATTTCCTTGAAAAATCCGAAAAAATCCTTGAAATTGGTCGACAGTAACTAATATAGTAGAGAAGTGAATTGAAAATTTTCGTTAACTTGGTCTTTTTTACGTTAATTATGATGGATTTCGTAAACTTTTTCATTTTCCATAAGCTCTTAGCCAGTTTTTCAAAAGACCCAATTCCTATATTTCGAGTTTTATTATCATCCTTATTTACAAGTGTAATATGTAGTGAATTTCTAGAAGTTGGATCATTACTGCATCGTTAGCTTTTGGTTTGCATTTATATATCCATTTTAGTTTGTTTATTAGAAATATCACACAGCGAAATAGTGAAACAATCGACTACAGTGCACAAGTTTTACTCGTATATTTATGTATCCAGTTGACCTTGTACTGCGCTTACGATGACACTTGTAATTATGTTGATTTTTCAGTTACCATCAGATTCATTCTACTGATGTGATTCTTTTCCCGAATCTCGACTTGAACAAATTGAAAAGATATGAATTTAATTTAAATAAACTTAATAGGTTGAATTTATCTATATCAATATGTGTAGTTTTTAATAATGCTGGATCTACTCATTTTACATCTACAGCTTCGATTCGGTGAACCTCCAATTAAAAGAGCTGTCCCTCTAGCTCTTGCTTTGTGTTATGTATCAAATCCTCAACTGAAAGTACTGGATACTTTGAGCAAATTTAGTCACGACTCAGATGCAGAGTTGTCATATAATTCTATACTTGCAATGGGCATTGTGGGTGCAGGTATGTTTATTACATACTGTCAAAGCAAGATGCAATTTTCTTATCATCCCCTATCAGATTTATCCTAACGTCTAGATGTAAACAATTCGTGAAAGATATTATATTTTCCAACCTGTTGCTTTTTTTAAATTATGTCAAATGGCTATTACCTACGGCATCAGTCCTCGTTTTGGCACTTTTGAGTGTGGAATTGTGGCTCATTGATCAAAGCAGTCGGTTTTCAATCGATAAATTGTGGATTTGACTTCCGTTCCATACACCAAAGTTGAGACATAGGCAGTGTCACCTGCATTCATACAGTAGGGTGGTATGAGTCAATCTGCCTCATAAATCTTCTTTTTGTTGTTGAGAGGCAGTTTTTAGCTATATACGAACGTAAATACTAAAACCGTTTGGGAAACAACAGCTTGAATATATTTGCCACGTGTTTTGCTCATTTCAAATATAATTTAGAAATACATCAAGACTTATCTGCTCTGAATCTTAGTTTGAGAATAAGCTGACTGCTTCACTTGCTTAGGAAGTCACACCAGTCTTCATGCGCCGATCGCTGATGGAATCTGAGGCTTAAACGTTAAAGGCCGTTTGGGACTTGCCAACTTAGGTCATGGGATGTTATGATATCCAACCACCTATTGAAGGACGGGTATACTGTTCAGTAGTTCATTATGTCCTGTTACATGGTTTAGATATGATAGTTGAAAATTGAGCATATAAAAAAATTATAGGTCTCTAGCGTTAAATATCTTTGTGACATTTGCGTGTATGTAGCACAGTCATCATCTGAGCAGTATTGGGGTTTGGCACAGGGAAGGCGAGTTGATGCAATCATAAACTTTAACCAACTGAGGTGGTTTGAACACGTGTTACGAGGTAAGGCATCAAGATGACCACATCCGGCCATGGCATATCAGTCCATTAAGTTCCCGACTGTTTGTCTGAATTGTATATGTAGGCTGTTAGCCTTGAAAAATCAGGATGATAAAATCAATGAAATTCGGTCACATTCGTGCAGATTTGTACATTCATCTTTATTGTCTTGAATACTTTCATCGATTACTTTTCGCTCCTCTCTGATGCATTTTCGCCTACTATTATGTCATATGTTTCCTACCCACTTTTTCTTTATATGCTACTGTGAGGTGTGGAAATTCTAACCAATGCAGTTTTTATTTATTCTATGTTGACCTGTCTGTCATTAAAAAAGTTTTACTGCAAAACATATGTGTGATTGTTGTGCTTTGTTTGAGTGGTTTTTGTCATATTGTTTCCGCTGATTAGTTTAATGTCTTAGAAAGGATTTGAAATTCGTGATCTAACCGTCATTCGTCTTCCAGTAAGTTAACTCTAAGGAAATGTCGTCCATTAGCTTAGTAACTCGACTCTCAAACAATGAGTTCCAAGTTTGAACGTTTCATGGGCCACTTCGATCTGTACACCTGGGTAGTATCATAAGCTCTGACCCAACAAATGTGGGTTATAGCTTAGCACATTAATATTTTGCCACATTGAGTTTATTATTGTTATTACTCTGGGGCACATGAGGAGCTAGTTTTTACTAGCAAACTAAATGAGCTTATTTATAAGTGCATAGTTGTAATATATGTCGTAGTTTAAGAGTGATCTAAGAATAAGTATACAGAGTGGTTACTAGACTGCTTACTGTGATATTGTATTGTTAAAGTAAAGGTATACAACAGGAAACTTTGAACACAAGTTTTGTTTCATAGCACTGGTAAATAATAGTTATCTCAATATAATTTATCTATCATCATTCTGTTTCTGTTTATAAGTTTTGTGCAAATACAGTTTCTCAATCTCATCTACCACTCTTTTCACACGATATTTTCGGAAATTATTCAATGTGACACTAATGAATAATTTTCGCTGACATTAAAAATTTGTGCATTATGAAATGAATCAATCTATTACCATTAAAAATCACTTTTCACTTATTCCTGATACTGATTCATTTAATAACTTTCATATGACTCCATTCTTTTTGTCAACGTCGAAAGAGACCGGTCAAACTATAAAAATATTGTGGATTAAATGTGTAAGAATTTGATTGTGCGTTTAAGAGGATGAAGTCCCTGAACTTATTAGTTTATATTATCCAATTTCCTTTTTTAGAGTCATTGTTGTTCACATGCTTCCGACTGTTGTTAGCTAGTGATAGATTTAAAATTTTAGTTATTCACACCTGAACCAAGGCTACAGTTTAGAATATGTCGTTATCTAAGCGATAATTTCCGTTGTCAAGGTATCGTGTTACTCCTTTTGGTGTGGTATGAATGAATAGTACATTTACAACTCGTATAAATGATATTTTTCATCTGGTTGGGTTTTTTTTGTCTGATACATCGAAATGGTGTACATTCTGCATCCACTTTGAAGAACCCACTTCACTTCCAATGGTTCGGTTTACTTGTATGCTATTCAAGCAGTTTATTCAGGTAATCAGAATGTGAAATGTTATCTTAAATACCGTTCTCTACATCTTGCTGTTCACTGCTTTCATGCATGTCATAAACTTTAACAATAACTGGCTATATATCATACGAATGTTCGCATTCTTGTTAATTCTGAAACGGTGTCACAGCGCCAACACTGACTTTTAAAAATATCAATATTCCTGCACCTATCATGCATTTTAAGAGTTATGAGTAAAATTGTTTTAATACAGCCGTATTGTATATGTCTCCAAGATTAAAGCTTTTTTATTTTACAGGGTCGAATAATGCACGTTTGGCAGCAATGTTGCGCCAGCTCGCTGTTTATCATAGTCGCGACCCATACAACCTATTCTTAGTTCGATTAGCTCAAGGTCTGACACATCTTGGGAAAGGAACACTTACACTAAGTCCTTGGCATTCTGATCGATTCCTCTGTCGTCCTGTCGGTTTGGCTGGTCTTCTCATTCTGCTAACTTCTTGTCTTGATATGAGGATGACGTTTATGAGTAGACATGATTACTTGATATTTTACATAACACCAGCAATCCAACCGCGCCTTTTAATGACTTTTGATGAAGAGCAGAAGCCCTTGTTAGTCACTGTTCGTGTCGGTCAGGCTGTTGATGTTGTTGGACAAGCGGGAAGACCAAAAACAATTACAGGATTCCAGACTCATACAACCCCAGTTTTACTGTCTCATGGTGAGCGTGCGGAACTGGCAACAGATGAATATTTACCCGTAACACAGCTGCCTTTGGAAGGTTTTGTACTTCTCCGAAAAAATCCTGAGCATGAAGAATTAAGTAAATGATGATTCTTTGTGTTTCTGTATGTATAATTACAGTGTAACAATGTTTTATTGTGTCATTAATAACTTTCCATTCCCACAATATTTCTTCTGAAATAAATTCTTCGGATTGATTTGCTCACTTTTTCTTCTAAACTTAATTACCTAAAGGTTTGTTAAGATTCTGTATTGGCAGATCAGTTAGTAGAAAGTGTGATATGTACTTTTTATCGTGAAATGTGTTTAGAAGAAGACCAATATCCTATATGAGCCTCATCCCTTGACAGCGAAGTAGTCGGGCAATTTGTATGACTGCCAAAGGAGATTTCACTACTGCTTTTTTCACGAGGCAGAGCGGGAAACATCAGCCTGGTTTTAGGAGGTGAGTTGTACAACGCGTTAGTTAGAGAAGTTTTTTATATGGGAAGCCTTACTATAAGCCAAGGATGTCAGACGGCTCAGTTACGGTTGATGTCGAAGGATTGTTTGTATTCATAGAGTCAGCATATAAGCAATCCTGAGGTGTTGTGATATGAGTTAGGACGTTAAAAAAAGCGTCATTCATTGAGTAGATTCACCTTGACACAGCAGTTTCTTTCTCTTGGATATGTGTCATAAGTGGTATTCCAGCACCTTCCTCATTGCTGACTGTTCGGTCGCCCATGGACTGAATGGAAGTGTGGGATGAAGGATCGTTGTCTTGGGTTGGCATTTGTCAGTATGTCATGAATGTCCGAGAGACTGCAACAGTCAGTGGCTTGTGGAGACATGAGTCAGAATCGAAAGCAGTGACTATTATACTGTGGCTTTTTGGTTTTTCTATGAAAACCTAGTGAAATGAAAACATTCTTCGATAGTGATATTTTGGTGATTTATTTCTGCTTCGCTTTTTTCGTTCTCTCCTTCGTGCAGTAATCGTACTTTCAATTATTGTCTTGATGCTCTTCTTGATGCCCATATTCTACCAAGTGTGTTTCGAATTAAGAACTAATTCGATCTTTGAAATGATGGCATGCATGATAAATAATAACTTTTTAAGTTCAACCTCATTAGTGACGATTGTTACGGTGTTATAATCTTTAGCGCTGACGTCACTACAGCTTTGACAGCAATGAGGAGCAAAAGCAACTTAGGCATGAGTTGATTAAGAGTCTTCTCAATGACCGTGAACAGTGGTGAGTGCCTAAAGCAAGCGAGATAGGGAAGTCTTTAGCATCACTTAATATTCGGCGACTATTTAGCCCCATGAAGGAAACTGACAAAAAAGACGATGGTTGATGAGACCGTTGGTGAGGAAAGAATAGGTTTGTGATAGTCTCCCATGATGGGTGGCTAGAATATTAGATGCAACACTTCACTGGAGGACAGTTCAACAGATCTACAGCAAAGCTCTGGTGGCCCAACATCCAAACCGATGCTGACAGATTGCTACCCGACTTTTTTTAGAATGAAAGAAGGTAGGAAATTACTGAGTAGAGTAGAGTAGAGGAAGTACAATGCATCGTATGGGAATCAGAGGTAGTCCGATCAGACTGATCCACTTCGTTAATCATTCCAGTTTATGAGGGAGGAGAGAAGTATTTTGGTGATAACCATAGAGTGAGTAATGAGTTTGACTGACACGGGATTCAAGACCCTTGGGATCCATGGTTTGGTTAGTTGATCGACTGGTAATCGTAGTGAGGAGACAAGAAATTTGAGAGAACCAGAAAGGTTTTTGAACTGGATGAGGATGTATCGATGAGATCTTGACGCTTGGTCAGGTTATGTAATGAAAGAATGGTTACCGGCAGTCGACACTTGCCATATATCTTGACCTGAAGGTGACATTTAACACTGTTTAGTGTGGTTTTCTGGCTGCGTCGGATTGCAAACGGAGTACTGAACAAGTATGCGAAGCTAATAAGGATTCTGAGATTATGCATGATATTCGCAGCTTAGGAGGATGATTTTGATGGTGTTATATTCTCTGAGCTGAATGGTTTGATCGTGAACCTTTCATTGTCATTTTGGATAACATCATTGACATAAACTTCAGAATGAAGTACTGATGATGTTTAAAATGACAATAAAAGCTTCACAACTAAACCATCCGGTTCATAGAAAACAACACCATCATGATGAAAACTTTACTCGGACGAACTCGCAGTCGTGTCTGGGTTCATAGGGCGAAAGTTGTTGCTCGAAACTCTGGGTTTGACGTCATTTTATGTATGCCTGTCATGCAGTATCAACGCGACTTTCTTTAAAAAATCGAATCTGAAACCAAGAGGTAATATTCGAGTTTGTATTTTGCTAAGCTCAGTATTTGACAAATTGTACACAAATCTTTGCAGTTTTTGGGAATATGATGTCTTATCCTCCTTTAAATATGATTTTTGAAGGGTGTTTTCTAGCTTTCAACTGATGAACTTGGACGAAGTTCAGCTTTATTCTGTTTATAATGTTCGAGTTATCTAGCACCCGATGAAAGTTACGCAATTTAGACTTCAGTGTTGAAATTGATTGGTTTATTGATTCACCAGGAAACTTATAAAAATGCAAGGCTTTTAAGGAACTGATGAGGAAAACATTTCGTGTGCGGAGATTTTGCACGAAATCTGACATTACACTCTTGAACGATTCCTCAACAGATCGTCACGTATAGACTTGGTGATTTTATGGATTGTGTGTTCCCCTGAACATTTTCTCAAAGCAAAATGAACAAACTTGGCAGAATAAATCGAGCTGATATTTATATCGTGACTTCTCAGCTGCAAACAGTCTCATGGAATAGAATGAGAAACATATTTTCGAGTTCAAACGAAGTAACCATGTAAATTGAGATGCAACAAGAAAACTCAGTTAACAGTGTGAATAGGGGTGATGAGATTGTTTATTTACAGGCCATCAGAAGGAAGGTCCCAGAGTTTTAACAGCGGATGAGGGAATCTGCTAGCCACAACCAGCTTATGAACATCCAGGCAATATCGAGGCATCCGCATAGGAGCCTATTTGGCAATAGACGTCGAACAATTCGATCCAATAAAACAACGGAGAATTAAAAGTATATCAATAAGTAGTAATAATGTGATTATCATAATAATAACAGGTTTTCCACACAAGAATAAACAGATGAGTGTTATATTACATAAGATATATGCAACAGGTAACAAAAACAGAAAAGGGATAGCTAAACGAAACTCGACATAAGAAAAACACAGTTACCAAAGTATTGGTAGATTAATCATTATCTCTTTCTGAATACAATTTGAGTCTAAAGCGTTTGGTTACTATTGATTGGTCGTTGATTTATTATTTAAAGGCTGTATAGACATCCACATTGTGTTCTAAGTCGAGTAGATGGCGTGTCACTGAACCTGTGAGCGATTTCGAACTGCTTAGTTGCTTGCTCCTTGGGACATATTCAAAAAGACGAACATATGCCAATCTTTCTGTCCTTACATACTTGCTATGGGAAGTACATATGAATTCGTAATCACAGTTGGAGGTAACTTTTTCCATTTTAGACTGATACATAGCGTGGCTAGTTCCATATAAAGGAATACTTTTCGCTGCTGGATACATTCTAGAAAAAGAAGCCTGTAACCTGTTTATCTTTTTGGAAACATCATCTTTGTTTGCTAACTGAATGAATATTGGCTTTTTCTCAACAGTGCCCATATTCTTTCTTTCTGCACACACTTCTGAATACTTGATAATCAGACTTTCGATAACCATTGTCAAAGACATGCGTCTTATTATTATAGTGATAACGATTACTTTATTATTCCCTCAGTTGCCGATAAATAAGCAGGCTTTATTACTACTATTCATACTGTTAACTAAGTTTTCCCGTTGCATCTCTTTTTCTCAATTTACATGGTTACTTTGTTTTAACTCAAAGGTATGTTTCTCATTTAATCCCACATTAACTTTATATTCGTTCCAGGCTATTTGCAGCTAAGAAGTCGCGAAACAAATATGAGCTCAATTTATTCTGCAAAGCCTACTTTTTTGCTTCAGTGTAAGTGATTTCAAAACCTAACTACGTCTTGAAGATATTTTACGTAGCGACTCCCTACCCATCACTCGTAACCCCTCTAACGGTGGACCACGCCTTTTTGTGCCTCTATCAATGAGGCAACCATTTTTCGATAAAGTGTACGGCATTTTTCATGCTGGTATTTGATCTACAGTAATTGAATTGGTGCTCGATGTGTCTGTCCAAATATGAATCGAGTACTTCTGCAATGGAGCAGAGCCTGTGTAGTATGTCAGGCATATTCTCTCACCTATTGGTAGGTTTCTAGCATCAGATACTAGATTCGGTCATATGCATATCGACAACGTTGGACCACTACCGTCAAGAAACAACTTAAAAAATATCTTAAAATTTAAAATCAGATTGACCAGGTGGCTAATAGCAATATATCTGGATGATATATCTAGCGAAACAGTAATGAAAATACCATCCAATACAGGATCTCTTACTTTTGTGTTCCAAAAACTGTTACCATAGACAGCTGCACAACTCGAGAGTTGTCTACCTCAGCAGCTAACCAGGCTCCTTGAAATCAAGTGAGTAAGAACTACTGCTTACCATCCTTATCCTAATAGTTTTATTGAAAGGTTCTATAGACAGCTTAAACTTGCATTGTTGGCATTAAAAACAGATGACGTATGGGTTGACAAAATTACCACTAGTTCACCTCCGGATAAGTCCAAATGTCAAGCAGGACCTGCTTGCTGTGCTACGCTGCTAGTTAATGGGACTATTTTACGCAGCCATGGGTAATACTTCGCCCAGCGACAGAAGTTCCATCAGAGTTGAATGTATGCAACAAATACGGCAGAATATTAGTATGTAGCGTCACACACTCCCCCAAAATCAATAGCCTAGGGTTTGACGACTTTCGACATTGATGCTGACCTTGATAGTTTAACTGGACTCGCTAAGCTGAAGGCACCCGGTCAAGCATCCTCGCCATTTGGCACGCTGTCGTGTTACGTTGCATTGCTCGTATTCGACTCTCTAGCCAGTTAGTTGGAACGCATCGGTATTTTGGCATAACCATCCAAATATACTATTCCATCCGACTACGCTATCGTGTTCTTCCTTGGTCTCGTATTCGTGGGTATATAACAAGTTCGAATAATTA